ATGTACGGTTTCAAACAGAACAAAAAAAATAATGTCTAATTTCGAACAAATAAATAAAGTTCATCATCAAAACTGAACAAAATTGAAAAAAAATGATGATTAATTTGGAACAAAAAACAAATGAGTGTCGAAATTGAAAAAAAAAATAAATTAAAACTTAGTGTGAAAAAAAATTAGTTTCTTTTATAACATTTTTTTAATTATGATACGTCAGCATTTCATGTCAACATGTCGCGTCATCAAAATTAACACGTCATTATGTTACATCAACTGACAACCAGTTTGACTGGTCAAGTAGTCAGAATTTTAACAAATTGAAAAACAGTGTCAAATTTGAAACAAAAAAACACAATCTCAAATTAGAATGGTCATGTAAACTTAGTTGAATAATATAACTTAAAGTAAGTTGGAAAGATCTAACAAATACTTTCTTTCTTGTGTGCATGTTTTATGTAACGACCCAATTTTTCAAAACAAATTTTCATTTTTAATTATCTGAAATACATGTTCACCATCCACAAAACCAGTTACAATTGTTTTCAAAAACATATCAATTACAACTTTGTTTAAAACATCAGAGTGTCCCGTAACATAATAATGAGAGATAGAGTGCACGCCGCGCCATCAAGCCTTGCCCTTGCCCTTGGGCTCGGATGTACCTGAAACAATTCCACAAACTGTAAGCAAATGCTTAGTGAGTTCCTCATAGCATACTACACCTACAATCCAAGTATCATATATCATACCAGCCCTAAGGCTACATACATCACATAACATTAGCTAAGAAGCTATCTCTACCACATAACATATCATATTAGCTGTAAAGGTATCCCTACCACCTATCCCTGCATAATGATGCCATGGGCTCCCCCACATGGTCTTACCCCTAAGTGTCATGGGCTCCGCCCATGGTCTTTCCTTGTCGGACGGCCATGGGCTCCCCCACATGGTCTTACATCCAAGTGTAATGGGCTCCCCCATGGTCTTTCATACAAACAACACATAATCACTAGCATACAACTTAGCACAAGCTAACTATCATACCATATAACTCTACTATAGTTAGTGTGTCACATATCATAAAATGGGCCGGCCTTGGTGCCTTAGACCCATGAGTATGGTGAGAAGACTCACATCTGTCTGCTGAATACAAAAGTTGTTCTCCTAACAGTCTGTAGCCTCCCGTGCTGAATAATAATAATAAACAATGTTAGGACTTTGATTAATCGAAGGAAACCCAAACTCCAAACCCTTCCATGAGGCCCAATAATCCATCCCTTGTTAATGGGCCCAAACTCCAAGTCCAAAATCCTTAATGGGCCTCTTGGCCCAGTAAGGCCCAATCAATATGGCCATGGTCCATAACAGATTATATGACTCATAATTCCCAGAATACCACCGTGCCCAATAACCAAATGAGGCCCAATAGCTCAAACGCCCAAAACAGATTCGGCCCAACTATGATGAGTACGCTTGGCG